TGCTAGAATATAACCTTTATGAAACTCTTTCAGGTACAGAAAATATTTCTATTACAGCTGCTACAGGACTAGCTGGCAGAGGGTGTGTCCACACTTGAATTACCATTCATCTTTTGATCTAAGTACAGAGTTCTCCCTCCTTCCTTCCCATCTCTTTGTTGTGAAAGCATTTTGATAACAGTATTTTTTTAAGTGGAAACAGCACAGGAAATATTATTAGTGCATATAGCTTTTAGTGTTTGCTTTTTAAAGAGAATAATCATATTCTAAATATCCACCAGCAAAACTGTTTTTCCTCTGGCAAACATAATGAAAACTAAATCAATAATTAAAAAAAAATCCTTACTGATTTTCTACCCTCTGTAAGTTCCCCAAGGAAGGCTGTATGGCTCTTGGTAAATACGGAAGATATTTATATTATATTTCCTTTTAATAAAATGAAAAGGGGATACTTAACTATAGTTGCAGGTCAATGTTTCCTAATTATAGCATTATAGATGAGCTCTTTTGAAGTATAGTAAAAGTAAAACAGATCCCAACACATGTCATTTAAAGATTCATGAAGATCAACCCATACATGTAACATAATAGGTCCCAGGACGTGTAATTTAAATGGATTTGATTCCAGCCTTTGTTATGAGTCAGCAAATATTTTACAGAAGTCTACATGTATAATTTTCTGTAATTCTTAAAATAATTCTATCTGGTAGCTGCAATTTTAAAATATACTTTAGAGATGAGAAAACTGAGATTTAAGTTTGGAAATTTAAGCAGCTCATATGAGTGACAGAATTTGACGTAGAATCCCCTCTAGATTGTAACTACTATGCTATAATACTTACCAAAGACTTGGAGAAATGCCTGCTTTTCATCTTCTCCTGCCTTATTTGTGGCCCTGCAGACATACGGGCCCCCATCACTGCTGATTATGTTCCTGACAGTGAGTTCTGTATTGCTTCCTTTCAATGTGTACTTTTCGTTTTCTTCAATGAACTTCCCATTCCTAAAGAAGAAAACAGAGGTTGATCTTCATAAATCTAACTTCATCATCACTCAGGAGCAGATCATACTCAACTTTTTAATCTGTAATTGTCAATCATTTCATGGCTACTGTCACTGATAGATAAGGCTATATTCCAATCAAAAGTACATTTGTATTAGCGCAATAAACATATTGCATATGTATTAACATTATACTTGAAAGTGTTTTGACTTTAGAGACAAAAATAACATTTGAGCTGTGTGGAAATCTTGACACTAATCTTAGGCAAAAGGCACTTTTGTTCAATTCGCACTTGGATTATTAGCAAAAAAAAAGGTTTTTAATTTTAAATCTACTTTTTATGTTGGCAAGACAACACATATTTATGAAACATATTTATTTATCAGGTTCTGGGACACTTTAAAATAACTTCTATGGAAACATGTTTCAAAAGTGTTTCAAAGTAAATGCAATTTAAATACGTAATGAATTCATATTGCACAAAGGTACTGCCAATAAAAGGATGAGAGATATGATTTAATTCATTAGTGAGAAGAAATTTTTCTCAGACGTATTTTTAAGCAGCTTCCAAGTTCTTTCTGGAATGAAACAGCGTTCATTTTTCTTCAATTCTAGTTTTGCTGTTCGCTAAAACAATGTCTTTCAAACTTGTCTTACAATAACTTACAGTAAAAATATTTTAAATACGCATTTAAATCTGAAACAGCTTCTACAATTTCCCTTAATATGTGTGAAACATTCTTATAATAAAACATATTCTTTTCCATTCTATCTTATTCTCCTCATCTCCTCTTCCTCCTCTTCCTTTTCTCTTTCCCTTTTTTTAACTTGTTTTCATATATGTGTATGTATATACATGATGGTGTTTGGGACGGTTGCATTGATTTTAAGACCCACTAATGTAAAAATTTAGGATCTACTTTTAAGGGGTGGGGGAATTTCTTATCCATGCACGTTTAAATTAAAAAAAGAAATATCTAAAAGGATCATTAAAAAAACTTTCCTAGAATCATACAGAATATTTCCCTGATATTCTAAATGATCTTTCCAGTGAGTTCTGGTTCTGCTCTCTAGAAAGTACTAGCATGTATTTTAACAGTTCTTATTTTTCTATGACTCAGTAACATCTATTTTTCCAGTTTTTATTGACATGTCAAAATATAAAATAACAAAAATTCATGAGTGGTGTGAAATATTAGGTCTTTTTAAATACTAATGGCAAATACATATAGGGCTCTGTGCTTTTATGTTTTTAACATGTTTAATAATTATTTTTTTCAACTATGAATAATGACAATGCTTCAGCATTTTTGCCTAGAATTTTATGCATAGACAAGGCTTTCACCACAAATAGTGACAATATATTTCGTAATCTATTCCATGAAGAAGAATTCATTTGTCTCATCATATTCATCATCAACTAGAAATTTCAGCAATTTGTGGCTTAAAAAACACTTTCCCTATATTATTAACATGGTTAAATTAGCCCATAGATGTACACTTTCCCTCTCCACCCTCATTCACAGATCAGAGAACTAAACTTGTAAGTGTGATTTCCCAACCCCTCAGTTCACAGATGAAAAGATTTAGGTTAACTCAGTAATGTAAGCAGCAGGTTAACTAAGTTCTAGTGTTTTTTAAGATAAAGAGATTATTTCTCTACTTCGTGTGAAATATTGTGCTAAATGTCTGCAGTATAGCAAATGAGTGAGACATGGCCACCTAGCTTGAAGAATTAATAATCTGACTGGCAATGATGGGGATGATATCAATCCCATTGACATATTTATTCATGACTTTGTGTGTGTGTGTGTTGGAGCAGGGTGAGGAGGGATCTGTTATAGCAGAAGTGAAGGGAAAAGATGATGGCTAGGAATACTCTGGGAATTTTAGTGGGAAAAAAAAATCCATGATTTGAGCTTTGAAGTGGATGGGTAAGTCCTGAAGAATTTAAAGGAAGTCAGTTTTTAAAGATTATGTTCCCTTAAAGAGCTCAATTTAAAAATATCATTAGGGCAGACTACCTAAATAGACATTTCTTCAAAGAAAACACACCCATAAAGATGGCCAGTAGACACATGAAAAGATGCCCAACATCACTGACTATCAGAGAAATGCAAATCAAGACTACACCAAGGTATCATTTCACATCAATCAGAATGGCCATCATTAAAACATCTACAAATAACAAATGCTAGAGAGGGTGTACAGAAAAGGGAATCCTTCTATACTGTTGATGGGAATGTAAATTGGTGCAGCCCCTACGGAAATCAGTATGGAGCTTCCTTAAAAAACTAAAAGTAGAGTTGTCATATGATCCAGCAACCCCAATCCTGAGCATATATCTGGAGGGAACTCTTAATTTCAAAAGATACATGCACCCCAGTGTTCATAGCAGCACTATTTAAAATAGCCAAGACATGGAAGAAGCATAAATGTCCATTGACAGATGAACAGATAAAGAAGAGGTGCACAGAATGGAATACTACTCAGCC